GAATCCTTTCACTATTGATATCTGGGGCATCACAAGGTATGTGTCGGGCGACACCATGGCCATGGTCTTCAATACCCACCACGCTACGAGAGCGCTTAGGGGTATTCAAGGTACATGTTTAGAAATGTGTAATTTTCTTTTCCTGCCGGCGTTGAGGTACGCACGGGTGCTTAAAATTGACCCACTCACGTTATGAGAGGGCTTAAGATGCTTACCTGCCTCACGGCAAGCGTCGCACCGGGTTCCCTCCCACTTTGCTACAGAGCACGTAGGGTGGTCCACCGACACGCCGTGAGTGCTGAAAATGGGGTTTTGAGTTAGAAACATTATACCTTGGCGAAGCGGTGGCAATGATAAATGTGCACAAAAAAATCTCTCTTTTCTTCTCTCTTTTTTTTACCCATCATCATTCTTTTCATCATCATCACTCTTCCACTCTTCCTTTTTTTTAGGCTTTTATCTCCACAAATTAATAGTACATTTTTTTTACCTCCGCATTTAATTTCCGCATCATTGGTTTTGATTGTGGTGAATCTTGTTTTTGGTTTTAAGTTTGAGTTTTGTTTTAAATATTGATTCACCTCTCTATCTCATTATTAGCCTTGGGCCAGTTCATAAGGGCTTAACATCCCTAACGAACTTTCAAGTGGTATCAGAGCACTTTCTAGTGTCATCTGAGCACTTTCAAGTGGTATCAGAGCACTTTTTAGTGTCATTTGAGCACTTTCAGATAGCATGTCTACAATTGGTAATCAATAATAAGTGTTTAATATTACAACTCCCTTGCAGTTGGCAATTACTCAATGGTTGATAAATATATTAATCCATTGCAACCGGAGATGGATAATACGTAGTAGATACAAACTCCTATGAGTTGTTGTAGGAAACCCGACGATGCATCCAATGTGCGGCAAACAAGCAAAATACAAGAGAGCTATGACAAGCACGAGCTTCTAATGTATAATGCACCCGCATGGGCCTTGGCGAGCGTAATATATTCACACACGTGATGTTTAGGATTGTTGCGCGTAAATTATAAACCCAAGTTCAAGCCTGATCTTTCTATGCCGGTAGATATGAGTCGACACAGCTCGAACTATCAGATAAATATACGGTCGCTATATCAAGTGGGATATTTATTTTATATTTTCATATCAGGCCTTCAAGGTCTATAACAAGAAAAATCCATTAACAAAATCACAAAGCAGACAATGAACCCGATCATTTGTCAACAAATAGATAGAGTCGACAATGTTCAATTTATAAATGAAATTCCTCATGAATACCCCGATGATGGCCGTGTTGATAGAAAATCTTGATCGGAGGGAATCATACATTTTTAATTGCCTTCAAACTCCCACAAAAATGCAAATATTTTCAAATGATCGCATATACACCGATGATAGCCGTGTTGAATGTAGATTTCAACCGGAGGGGTTAATTCACAAATATTTTAAATACTCTCCAAATTCTCAAATGCCCATTAAATTCAAACTCAAAGAAAATACCAAAATTAAAAAAATGTTTAAAATTAAAATTTTTCATCAAAACACTTAAAAGAAAAATATATCCATCCTCCGCAACAATTTGCTAAGGTGGGTAAATTTGAAAATAACTTCAATTCACATAGATATAATGTCTGGTCGAGAATATCACTAGGATTCATTATCAAATAGTCTCCTGCCAGTAAGGACGTGTCACGTGTTCTATAACCAGCGATTTTGCTATCAAATGACACCGCAGGATAAACAATTATGGCCGGGCCCCTCTGAACTTGGTGGTTTTCTGCTAAATGACACCACTAAATTATGGTTATGGTCAGATCTCGTATGCTCTCCAATGACATCAAATCATTGAGATATGAATCAATAGATATAATCAATAGGGCATAAAGTCCTCTGTTAGCTAAGGTGGATTCAAATTTGTCCCTTTAGGCAAATACCCACCCCAGGTCTATAAGGTACCCTTAGACGAAGCAACCCATGGTTGCCGAAAAGGATCATTCTGTCAGGTTGGGTCGACTACCTCCTCTGTCTAAGTAGACCAGGGACCACAATGGCTCGGGATGACGAAACCATGGGATCTTGATCGGGTCCATCATCCAATCCCCCACCATCCGCTTTAAGTGCAAGATTGTGAAATTTTCAAATCTTTAAATATCAAAATCTCAATTTTTCAATACTTAAGCCCATGCTGCTACTATGTGTTAGATACTACATATTCTCTTTGTATCTGATCGACGACTAGCCTTAATCGAAAGTTCTCTCTCGTTATCATGAGGGGTAATTAACTGTAGGGGCTTGTGCCTATAGAAAACCAAAACTCAGATCATAAAGTCCTCACAAAATGAGGTCGAAATGTCTGGGTCCTTTCTTATCTACAAACTCATTTGCCTTCCCAAAATTTACTCCGGAATTTAATCCGTTAAAACTCCCCGAAAAGCAACGGGGAGGCTGGGGCACGAATTTTTGGAGCCCACAATTGTAATTAAATCAATGAATTTATATGAATTTGAATATTAGGCTATAAAAATCATTGAGGTCAAAATTGAGTGTTATATAAAATGAGAGTGTTAAGGTGGTACGTGACAAAATGGTAAAGGATAAAAGAATATTAGAGGAAGAGTTGAAGTGACATTTGTTGAATATTAATGGGAAGACTTGGGCGATCTGGACATGTACAATATAGGACAAAAAATGTATCTGTTAGGCGAGTTGATAAATCATCTTATGAGAATTAGAAAAGAAAAGGATAAACCTAATATTCTCTGAATAGAAGTTATTCAAAATAACGATAAAGAATAGGTTTAACGGCTCATGCAATATTCAATCGGAAAGAATACAAAATGATTATTTGTAGAACCAATCTCAAATCGTTGAGATAAGGCTCGATGATGATAATGATGAAATTGAGACTATAGCCCAAACTCTGATATTTTCTTGTGATTATAATATGTATATTTTCTCTCTCTTACCATATGAATTGTTTGTAATATAATGGAGGTGTTGCTTACGACACCAACCACGCCCACTGATAGGATGAAAGCAATTGTGGAAGCCTCAGAAGGATTTGTGTATCTTGTAAGTTTTTTTTTTTTTTTCTTCTTCTTTTTTTTAACGCGTCATTTAAATGTTTTCTCCTAGTTATTTTTACTGATTTATCCTGCATCCCGTTCTCAAAATGACATAAAATTAGGTGACTTCTGTTGGCGTCACAGGCACCCGTTCATCTGTTAGTTTGCGTGTGCAATCTCTGCTTCAGGATATTAAAAAGGTTTTCCTGTTCTGAATCCTTTTTACGTTTTTTCATTTATTTGTTATTTTCATCTCATGAAATGGTTTAGGTGCATATATTTTTTTTCTAATTTTTTTTGGGTACTTTATCACCTCTTCTTTCATTGACCAAATTTTACATTCAAATAAGAAATCCCTACAGAAACTAGCAAGCTCGTTAAAAGCTTCAGAACATCAAAATTTTACCTAAATTAGCTCCAAAGGTTGTGATCTTACAGTGCTGCAAATTTACCAGAACGCTAAGGAGTGTATAATAATTATCATAAAATTAGATCATGAAAATAATTCAATGTATGGAAACAAGTAGAATCTTTCTAACGTTGCATTTTTGGCTTTATTCACTTCTGTTTTTAAATGTGAGATAGAGGCTCGTCTACTATTTTTGTTTGTTTACATATTTTCTACCGTTATAAACAAGTAAAATTTATTTTCTCATCTTTGCGTGCACAAAGTTTACCTATCTATTTTTTTTTTTATTTGAAACATTTCATCAAAAACATAAACAACATCTCTTAATCAAATTAAGGCAAAGTTGGTAGTAACAAGTCCCTTAAGAATTGACTTTGGCAGTTATAGATGAGATGAGCCCATTATATTGTATGTTAAAATTGTTGAAGATAGGGTATTTGGATGTCCAAAAAGTTCCCAATTACAATGAAGTTATATGATGCTTAATACTGTGTTTGCATTTTTTTGTATTGATGATGGAGGTGATTACAACGAATTATGAAGCATCGATGCTTGCAAGGGTGGCCATAAAAGTGACATGACATGATAGGGACAAAGGAAATCCTGAAAATGGGGCAAGACATGCTTAGGACACTTGATTGCATATTTAAATATCATAAAATACATACATTGACTGTTAATAACTAAAAAAATGTCCATTATGGTCATCTTGTCATGTAAAAATAAAAGTTCCAGCAAGTCCCAGCAAGACGAAATGATTGAGAGGAATAATGTGATTTGGAATCTGAAAAGTTTGATTTGTTATATAACCAAATTGTAGTGGCATTGGTTATGCGTCAAATAAGTGCACCTTTGTTGAATCTGGGGAAGTATGGAACAAAATATTACATCATACAAGAAAGATAAGAAGGCTGGAATGAAGCATATAGTGGAAAGATAGGTTTTCTCTCATAGACTTGTGATTGCGAATCATTCAAAAGAATACCAGTTGTCTCACTTGGCTGTCTAATACTCGAGTGGGAGGGATTTCATCACACTCATTCAAACTGGCAAGAAAATGTGGTTGAAAATGCGAGGCTTGAAGAGATTCAGGCTTGGTTTGGGAGTTGGGACAGCTTTTTTATTATTTTTTAAAGTAGTTTTTTAGTACAAAAATTTAAAATTCTGTCCTAAAAAACTGCTTTAAGAAGTAGTAGGAAAACCGTTCCAAACGAAACCTCAGATTCCATTCATTCCTCCATTCTCTAGAAATAACCCTATGGAGTCCTTAAATAGCAAGGTTTAAGGAACAAATAAAGAAAAGTCTCATAAGACAATATATGAGGAAACTCGAGTGAATGACTTTTATCTCCTGGCAAACAAAGCAATTGACATCAAAGTCTTAGAAACTCTAATACATTGCATAACTGATAAACTAAACATAAAAACTGTGGACTATGTCGACAGATTTGTTTGTGAGCACAAATTTCGAAGTTACTCTTTAGAGCAGCTATCAGCTTGTGTCTAAGAGATGTCAAGTTCTTCTATTTTGTTAGATAGAAAATGAAACACCCATTGATATGTTCAACTTGCATCTTAGAGTGTTCCCCCAAGGTCCAAAAGTTTCATATGAAATGACAACCTCTAAAGCCTTTTGGTAAGGACTTTTTTCAAAATAAGTTCATGTTAGAAATGTCATAATTATTCGATAAGTTTTGTGCTGACTGTCTACTATCTATCGTAACCCTCTACTTTCCTCATCTAGAACTCGGGACTTTGCAACGACAGTATTAAAATAAGACTTCGTTTGGAACAGCTTCCTTTCTGCTTCTTAAAGCGACTTTCTTTATATATATAATTATTTAGTTTCTATTCATACAGGTAACAAATAAACCAGTTGCAGTCGGTTTCGGCATATCGAAACAGGAACATGTCAAACAGGTAGGCTGTGTGAAGACAGTTTTGCTTGTCTTTTATTTATCCCATGGCCAATATTTCTCTTATTGCTTCCCTATAATTGTAGGTTGCTTGCTGGGGAGCAGATGGTGTGATTGTTGGTAGTGCCATGGTGAAGATCTTGGCTGAGGCCAAATCCCCTGAAGAAGGATTGAAGGAGCTGGAAAGCTTCACGAAGCTGCTCAAGGCTGCAGTGCCTTGAGAACTTCACTCCAAAAGGACTTTTTTTTTACAAGGAATTATAGAGCATCACTTCAATCAGTTTTGATCGATATGGTTGATAAATATGGCTATGGACATGTGGAAGGGGTGGCTTGAAACTTTTTTTTTTTTTTATTAAAAGTTTTTTTTAGAGATTTTATGATGTGCTGCTCTCTTGTTATTTTTATGCCTTTCCCTTGATATAAGCATGATAAGTTTCAAGGTATTTATCACGTTATGGCCCGGAGGCTCGATTAACGATGCGGGAACAGATAATCAATTAATCTAAAACTATGTTAAATAAACTGAAAGAGCAACTAAAATCTCAAAAATTAAAAACAACTAAGATAAATATTTTTTTCTGGTGCGTCGTGCCTACGATATATATTTTCTTCTTTTCTATTCATTTTAGTTAATTGAATTGTACATGTAAATATTTTTCAATAGGAATAGTGAGTCTTAAAAGAACTTAGTGAGTAAATAATGATTTTAAAATTATAATAACATAAGGCCTTAACAATTAGTATGCTTATTTTAAAAAATAAGTAATTATATTTAAATTTATTTCAAACATGGTTATTAATGTTATGCATATATGAACTTTAAAATAGTATTAATAAAAGAATTTTTTTTTAATTCTTTTTTTTTTTTAATTTATGTGCAGGAATATGTTGTGTCCTGAATCAGTATTATAAGACAATGTGCTCCATCATTTAACATTCACATTCAATCATATTTATATTAACAAATACATTCATATATCATTCATTTAATTTCTATGAAAAGTGTAATATATTAATTTTCATTTTATTCAATTTGGCCAACTATTAGATATGAGAAAGACAAATCATAATCTAACTTGTTATAAAATTAATAGCATAAATCATTATCTTTTGATGCATTTAATTTAAGGAGAGAACAAAATTATTATTATTATTAAAAGACATAAGTACTCACTTTGATTTGGATGTTTTAAAAATTTTACTCTTACTCCTTACTTTGATGATGATAGATTTAATGTCTATATACAAATCTCGTCGTTAAAAATTAATTAATAAATTATTATTTATAATTAATTAGTATAGTTTAAATTTCAAATATTATTTATTAAAATCTCTCTCTCTCTCGTTTATAAATTATAAATTCGGATGTTTTAGTATATTTAAATAAATAAGTGAGGGTATACTTATCAAATTTTAATTATGATGGATATTAAGATTTTTGGAAATATTTTCAGATAAGTACAATACAAAAATAAATTAATATTTCATATACTATATTCATTTCAAAATAAAATTACGAGTTCTAAAATGCTCCATGACCCAACTTTTTCTTTTCTCCCATCAAAATTGGTTTAGATTTTTTTTTTTTTTTTTTTTTTTTTTTTTTTTTTTTGTCATTTTATTTTTTTTTTTTTTTTTTTTTTGAGCCAATTGAAGATAGCTCACACGCATATCACATATCCAAAATTTAAATCTAAGATTTTTTTATTAGCAGCATAAGCTCTCAATTAACATATTAAAATTAGAAGCTTTTTTATAAGCAAGGGAGAATAAGTGCCCTCATCATGTGCTATGATTTAATGGAATAGTCTCCCTGCAAATATAAAAGATAAGACTACCGGCTATGTATCTGCAGCCAGTTGGTTGTGGATGGGGCCAGCGTAGGGTCAATGGGGCCACATGCCTCAACTTGCTGGGGTCTGCTCAGCTGGCTGATTGGTTGATTTGCTTGTCCCTTAGCTTTTTCTTTTCTGATCTAAGGTCAAAACATTTAAAAACGGGTAGAATAATGGCAAGAAGTCAAAACAAGGGGATGATGCTAATCAAATTAAAATGCTACATTCATATGGAGCTTCCCAAATCTTATCTATATATTTGTTCACTAAAATATTAGCAAAAATATCTGTCTAATGGCCTCACATCTTTTTAGCAGACACACAATCCTTTAAAACGAAAAATTATTTTGTACGGATACTAGACGGAGTCCGGAGATTAATCAGAACGCGTCACGTCATTTTTATTGTTTGATACCGGTGTTTGGTACCGATATGTACCGAATGACGAGGTGCATTCTAATTGATCTATGGACCATCCGATATCCGCACAAAATAGTTTCTCCCTTTAAGCTGCCTATAAGTTCAATGTAACACAAGCCACGAAATAAATATCCACTAAAAAAGGTTCATATCCTTTTGTTTGGGTGAGGATTTTGTTTTGTTTTTTTAAGTTTTTAGAGATAAAGTTAAAAAAAAATTAATTAGAAATACTCTTGCCAAATTTCGTTGATCTAGAGATGCTCGTTCTCCAAGCATTCTACGTCCTTCTGTAGTTAGGTTGCCTTTAGGGCATCTCCAACGGAGAACTCTAAAATTTATGGCAAAATAACGCAGAATTTTAAAATGGCGTGGTGCTTCTCCAATCGAACGCCATTTTAGGTGTTTTTCGGAAGTTAACGATCTTCTCCCTTTCGCGCATTTTATCGGTTGAGAGAGTAAAATGGTGTGGGTGAACAGTGCGACGCCAATATTGGCGTCGCACTGTTCACCTGCAAGTAAATGGCGGAAACTTTTTGCATTCGGTTGGAGCGACGGACGGACGACATAGGCTCGTTTGGCGTTCGGTTGGAGATGCCCATAGGCCTTTCTTTCTTTTTTTTTTTTCCTCTCTTATTAGGCTCTTTATACTTTATAGTTTTAATATACTATGGTTATACTTTATTTATTTATTTATTTATTTTACATATGAGTGTATATATACAGATAAATGAATTTGGGCTTATATATATATATACCGATTTTAAAATATCCGAATTGAGAATGCGACGATTTCCCCGCAAAAATTTAATTTTCTTGTTTTTTAATCCCCAGCACGCACTATATAAGCATCGCGCTCTATTTCTCTCTCTCTCTTTTCTGCTTTCTCAACGCCAGAGGAGAAGCTAGATTTTTAAGAGCAAGTGGAAGCGAAAATTCCAAAGAGACAATATGGATAAAGTTTTCTCGATGGATGACCTGCTGAATCCCTTCTGCGCTCCGTCGCCGGCGATAACCGATATAGAGCTAAGCGCAATGAAACGGTGTCCGCCGGAGTGGTTATTGGAGAAGTATCTTGAAGAAATGACGGCCAAAGAGGCATATCCGACACCGGATACGTCCTATTCGGGAGAAGATTCTTATCCGAGAGTTCTGTCTTTTCGGGACCCGAAGCCTGGCCCTAGCTATAATGCCGCGGTTTCGTTGGGTAGGGAGGATGGAGGAGGAGCGGTACGAGGTGAGGGTGAGATGGTTGAGATTAAGGAGCCTCACGATTCTGTTGCTGCACAGATGAAGCTTTCGATTGCTGATCCGATGGTGTGTGTTAGTATTCTAACGAAGAAGCTTCATAGCTCCTGTGCTGCGGCTGCTGCAAAGTTACAGGTAAAGCTCTCGAATGAATCCTGAGGCTATTCTTGTATCATTTTCTGTTGGTTCTGTTTCGATACTTCATTTTGTCCCCCAAACAGAAACTTGTCTGGTTCTAGCTGTTCTTTATGTTTGGTTTGGAAGTGAAAAATAAAGAGCAAGAAACTACAAGGGAGCAAATCAATTGCTATCTTAAACATCTATTATGCTCTTTATCGTGAATCTAATTAGCAAGTACTTACGATTAATTAGCATCGTTTGGGTAAATTATGTAACGTGAAGCAAGTAATGAAATTATCTCGACGACTTCGGCTAGGGTATGTAATTTTTTTAATAGCTGGAGTGTGGGGTCTTCGACACAACTGAGAGGCCAAGAAAACGTTCAGTAATTTTATAAGGGCTGTCTGGCATCCCTATTGTACACAGGATTTAACTGAGATTTAGCTTGAATATTTATAAATAGAATTTTGAGAACTTTAAATTGTACTGTCTTAATAAATGCTGTATCAGTCCGTCATTCATTAAATCCAGGATTTAACAACTTCTCTCTCAAAAATAGTAAATCTGAAAACAAAGACTGAAATAATTTATCATGGTTTAACAAAATTTAATAGTTGTCATTATCAAACATTTTTTTCAGGTTTTAATCCTCTCAAACTTTACTAACTAAATCTGAATTTACGGTATTTATTAAATACTGCTTCTAGCCAAACAGCTCCTCAAGGCGAGATGAGTGACTGAAACCTTGTATTTTGAGGTTGCTTCTGTCACGATTATTAATTGAGAAACATAGCCGGCGTACTTTTCTTACTTGTAATCAACTAAAAAAAAAATTGTTGTGCTGTGTGCAAAGGTTATTAAATAGTTACTGGTAAATGTATGGTACAAAAAAACATGCTTCTGTTAATGACAGGAATCCATTTTAAGCATATTAAGTCGATGTAATTTTCCACATAAGCTAATTTCGTTATTCCATCGCACGGGTGAAAATAGGCTCAATCTGTTATTAGGTACATTGAATATGAATTATTATAGCTAGTGTAAATGTGCACTCGCATGTGGTCTTAGAAATTTTACGCTGGCCTCTCACTGGAAGAGTTTGAGGAGATGCTCATAATCAAATTTTCAGAAGGTATATTAAGTTCGAGATTAGAGACTGACCAAAGATTTTTCCCTCAATATAATTTCAGGTTTTTCATAAGCATAAGTCTCTATAATTAATTACTACTTCTAATAAAAAGAGAGAACTTTCAATTAAGGTTATTTGAAATCGTCATTGAGTATTGAGCCTATAATAGCAACAATTTTGTTATCATACTTAAAGTTGATGGTGCTAGGAATGATGAAAACCCAATCAAGATCTCATAATTTCATCGTCTCGGGAACACAACGTCAAGGCGTTGTACAGAAAAGCACCCGAACCCAAGCAGGGGGAGGACCCCACACCCCCCAGCAAGCACGACAAATTGAATTGAGGTCTGAGACAATATTATAATCCACTTGATCAACACAATCAAATTCCACAAAGAACTAATAAGACTTATAGTAACATAGAGAAAATTTAAATTATATTCTTCAGGGCGTCCGCTCATTTAGCAAATAATGATGGCTTGCTTATGTTTCCACTGTAGCAGTTGCTGCCACCACCGTGGCCCACCATTTACATGATACTTTGTTGTGTTAGATGATTTTGTAATATTATTGCTCTAGTTTTCATATCTTTGTTTAGTGAGAGGTTATGTATATGTAACTGCGCTTGTCGTGATCACTAACAACAACATCTGTCAGTTAATAATAACAAGCAAATAACAAAGAGATTTATGTAGTTCAGTGAGCTCCAATTACATTTATAGCATCACAAAGTTAGATATTCACTAATCTTCAGAAGAGATGTATGGAGATATTGCACTTCATAGAAATCTGAAAATAGGGATAGAGATGCCCCTTTTTCTTTGTCATTGACTAAGAGAGAATGCATATATGTCTTGAAATGATGAGAGTTGGATGCGGAGAAGAAGAAATTGCTATTATCGTTGTTACTTCCCTCTTTTTTGTTTTGTTTTGTTTTGCTGTGGCAATCCAAATGAGAGTTTCCCTTCTATGAACGAAGCATCTCCGGTTATTGAAACTGAAACCAATAAAACTCCGCAATTACAACTCCATCGAACTAAAAAATTGTGAATCAGCTACTCCGAATAGAATAGAAATTTTTTTGTAGCCACTTGTGCCATTTCTTACATTAAAAAGGTTGATTTTAGAGTCAGATGCCCGTAATTGAAGCCGATCATTCTGTTTTTGAAATCTGAGGATGGCCTGAAATGGCCTGTATTTTATTTACTGCAACTCGTGCTGTATCTGAGATTAATTTTCCTTATGATTTCATCTTCTTTCAAAATCTCTCTTCTTGCACTTGCACATGTTTGGTCGGTGTACAATGGTGCATCTTGTGTGGAATGTGGGGTGTGATAATAAATTGTGTCCCCTTTCCAGGGTGTTGGCATGATATCTCAAAATACTTCTAAAGCTGAGAGTAGATGTGATTCTTCTTCGTTGGGATCTGAAGCTCCAGTCAAAGGTATCTAGCATTAACGTTCACCTTGATGTCTTAATGGTTTTTTGTTTGAATGTTAGCAGTTCAGAAAAACAGCGCGTCCAGTGCATTTGTTTAGAGATAAAAGCTTTCACTGGTCCTATACTTTTCTCTTAAAAACTTGAAGTAGAAAAATCAATTAAATTATGGTTGAAGTACCATGAATGGAATTTTTTAAAATTTTGATGCCTAAGGCTGTGCATGATTTATCAGCTATTAGATTTTGTGTAACCCTTCAATGTTAGCTGATTAACATTTGTATAAAGAAAATAATTTGTGCAGTGCAGTGTATTGGAATGAATTATTAAGAACAATGAAGCAAAGTATATCTTAAAAGGATATTTTATGATTTTTTAATTTATTTATGCAGCTTTTAGAGGTGTAAATGCATGTTTAGCTGATGCCAATAAAGATGCATTGTATTGGTGTAAATGCATGTTTAGAGGTGTAAATGCATGTTTAGCTTTTAGAGGTGTAAATCAAATGCAGTGTATTGGAATGAATTTGATGCAGTTATAGCTGATGCCAATAAAGATGCAGATTCTGACAAAGCAAGCATCAGTGATTTGTTCGGCGTATAAAAAGAAGAATTGCTTGTATCTTTGGGTTAAGATTATCGCAAAAGGGAAAGCAAGAAAAGCTGTAGGCTAAAAGCAAACATGGTTAGAATTTATCCAGGAAAGCTTAGCTAAACTAGATTTAATTCTAAATGCAACTTCAAGTAGTAATGGGTGAACAGGTGATGTGAAACGTATATGCGATGGAGGAGTTACTTTAGGAAGCGTCGACAATGCTGACGATGTCCTCATCAACAGGATTAGCAAAAGTGGTGCACGTTAGGATTTTGGCAGATTATGTATAATATTGTTATTTGATGTAAGATTCACGCACTTCTTGGTTGTTTTATTTTCATAAGAAAGGTATCAATTTGCTTATATGGATCTGTATTGAGTGATAACTAATGGGAACATCTTTCTGCATTTTGAGTCAAGTTTTTGCTTCCATAGTATAATTGCAGGAAAATCTAAATGCTATAGGAATGAATCAATTGTGCCAAACCATTGGTGAATTGTTTTGGGCATTTTTATCTTTTATTATTTTCACAGGTCAATGTAGATCCTTGATTTTGTGGTGTACAGTGCAACAGGATGATAGTAGACGACTTTTTCAGAATTGTAATCTCCGAAACCTCCTCCCTGTGAAATAGGGCTAAAGGGGATTGAGCATTTGGGTGGTATATTATATGCTCAACTTTGTCAAGGTTGTCATCTCAGAAACATCCTCTGTGTGATTCCTATAAAATAGGGCTAAAGGGGATTGAGCATCTGCTTCAAATATCTATTTTAGCGGAGTTGAGAATGGAGAGCACAGAGGGAGAGAAAAAAAGATCAGCATTATTCGAAGTTTTGAAAATTTAATTGTTTGATTAGGAATTCTTAGAAAAAATGGAGAAAAGCATGTAAATCACTTAAAGACAATCTTCAATAACAATCATAATGGCAGAAGAATTTATTGCAGTCATGTTTTCTAAAAAACCGCTACATTTTAAAAATATGGTAGATAAAACAAACCTTCTAAATCATTTTCATTTTTCTTTATTCTGATTTTGAAAGTTCGTCATAAACTCATAAGAATGTTGAATATATGGAAAAGCCAATAACCAAGATACCATTTGATTCTTGGAGCTTCATTTTCTTTTTGATGCGCATGGAGAACAGGTAGTTATTTTCCACTTGAATTACAGAAGGTTGCTGTTGAAGTCTAATAAGCATTTATTTCTTTAATGAAAAACGTAGATTTTCCTTGCAGTTTCCATACTTCAAGTATTCATCGATGTATAGTTCCCTAATATGAATTAGTTAAAGCAGATGCAAACTTATTAAAAAGCTTAATTAAGCTCTTGATTTTTTAATCTCAGAAATTCAATTGTGTTAAAATTCATAGCATGGTACTTTCAAATTGACTCAGGCTATATGGTTACATATAAGAAAGCATAGAAGGCACTGATATGTTGAATATGTTACAATAAAGCGGAAGAATTAGGGAGTTGATGCAAATATGAAAGTTTTGAATCATAACACATGATGTTTTGATTATCTCATCATGCGTGTTTCATTGCAGATTGTTTTGGTTCAGCTCTCAAAATATTTCCTATATCTGAACGTCCAGTTCCTTGTTTTCCTGCACAGCTTTTGATTTGGAGATGTGTAGTGTTGATTATAGTTGCTGCTCTGTTTTTTTTCCACCGATTACTTGTGATGCCCTGTTTTTCCCTCTGATTATTGTCGTTGCCCTGTTCCTCCCTTCCCGGTTTGCATGGTTGCCGTGAGAGGGTTGAGATTTGCCTTGTGCAAAACGTGTATTAGTGTTGTGTTGGTTTTCCTTTTGCTGTTGATTTGCTGTTGTTGGTCTTGTAGTATTCCTACTTTAGCATTAATCGGGATTTCTTTCCCTACTAAAGAGTTGGTAGTGTAGCAAGAAATTACTAGTGTTGCTGTTTTCGGATTTTGGTAATGTAACAAGATCCGTTTCTTGCTTTTTTGGTCAAGTTCAATAGGAAACTTGCTGTTCTTGTTGAAATCCATGTTCACTGAATTAAAGTTTGTAATTTTAGGCTAGATCTTGGAGTATTCTTAGCAGTTACTGTTTTTTGCCCTTGTTGATTATAAATTGAGGTCCGTACGCATGTAAAATATAGTCTATGGTTTAATAAAATATAGATTTGATAAGTATCCAGAAAATTCATTTGATTAGAACTAATCTTGATGTATTAAATGTGTAAAAAACTTCAAAAAAATAAATTTAAGACCATCTAAACTATGGTTTCAACACACTGATAGTTGAACTAAATGTCTCATAAGATGAACGCAATGGCATCAAAAGTGATCCGATTAGAGCATAAATGCTAATCAATCACTTGAAGCATATTTAAAATTTTTGAGACATTAATTGAAGTACCAAGTGGTCTTCAAATCTTGCATGCTTATAATCAGTTGAGTGTCTTGACAAGATGAATCCAATTATTTGAAGATCATTTAATTTTGAGGCCATTAAGACACTTATATGCTTATCAAACTGTTTAAGATGAAAAGATCCATTATGAGTTTCCAAATAGAGTGTTATGAATTGTCATCAATTTTATCTAAATTTCACTCTCAAACTACTATAAATAAATCTCAATTCTCCACATGAAACGGACCTAGACTTAGATTAGAGAGAGCTTGGAGATCTAAAGCACTTTAAGGCTCTACCTAACAATAGACATCAATGATCATGCACCACTGCCATCTTCATCATTCGATTGCTGTCATTGAACTGTCGTCGCCGAGCTGCCATTATCCAACCATGTTGCCTGGCCATCACCGTTTGACCACCGTTATCCAGCCTCCTCCATCTAGTGGTCATAGTTCCTTCAACATCATCCCATAGTTGTCATCCAACTATTATCGCATGATCATTATCTTCTAACTATCATTGTGTAACCACCAAGGTTGTGAAAACCAAACTGGAAGAATTTTTGACCGGTCGAACCAAGGTTGAACCGGGGTCCAACCGGATAATATAATAAAAATTAATAAAATTAACATAATAATGAAATATAATAACCATTTACTTTAATATAAATTATTGTTAATTTATATTACATATTTAGATAGAAATTATAAATATAAATTATATAAAAAAGTCACAATAAAAATTAATTATTTATAATATATAATTAAATATAAAAATTTAAATAGATAAAAATAAAATATTATTAACTAAAAAAGTATTTTCCCAAAAAAATAAAAAAATATTATTCATATTATAAAAATTAATTTTTTATAATATGTAATCAAATATATAAAAATAAATGGATAAAAAATAAAAATTAAATATTATCAACTAAAAAATAAATATTATTCAATTAGAAAAATAAATTAAAAAATCATTAAAAAAAGATGTTTTGTTTTGTATAGTGTATACATAAAATCAATGATAGCTTTTTACTTTGTATGGTTTAGTCCCACATCACTTGTGATGTTTTGCTTTTTAGAATTTATATAACTTTTTAGTTTTACTCATGACAGGAGCTCATATGCAGTAATGGAGTCATGTGAGAATGTTGCAAGTAATATTTAATCATAGTCTTTAAAACTTATTTAAAAAATTTAATACATTAAACCAGCAGTTCAAACTAGTTCTGGCTGGTTTGGTGCACAACCGGTTTTTAAGGCTGAACCGGATCGGCCTTCAAACCGGTTCACGGTTGAACCAGTCAGACCGGCCGATCCGTTCCAATTTTTAAAATGTTGGTTACCACCATTGCTCAATTAATATTGTATGACTATCATCATTATCCCTCAACTACTTCTCACACAATCTCTACTACTACGATAGTGTAATTCTCTCTTCTCCAGTTGTGGAGAAAAGCAAACTTCATAACCTCAAATACATAATTGATTATTTCAATTGGATCCGGTCTCATAGTTTTTTGCCCTATTGGATTTCTCTCATAAAAACTCCAGTGACTCTTGCATTCTTTTCTTTTATCTGTGAATGTGTTGGATCTTCGTATTAAACTAGGATGTAAAACTCGACATTAATTGCTACAAATTTTCTAGCACTCAACAAGATTTACTCTCAATATTTCTGTTTGTTGTTATTGTATGTTAATTGTTCGAGTACTTTGCAAGTATTGACAATAATTTTTTGATGATGCTTCTCCTTGTATTGGCGTAATGTCTTGATCTTCCAATTGGCGGTTTCAGTCTTCTATTTTTTTTATCTTTTAAACTATTTGTTTTTTATTGTGTGCGTAATTGAAATCAAATATAATGCATTCTAGTTTTTGTTTTCTTGGTGCGAATTTCAATCTTTGTAGAACTTTATATTCATTCTCAGTTTTTTTTTTTTTTTTCAAATTTCTGATATTGGCAACTTTTATATTAATAACGGAATGAAGTAAGAATGTTTTCTAATTTTAATGACATTTATATCCTTCTTTAGTTCAATTATTCTTTATCTACTGCTGTTTTTCATTGATATACATTGGAATGGCAAGTACCCTTTCTCGTGTTTGCATCTGTATTATCAGGTAATGGTTCTAAGTTAATAATGCAGGTGGTGGAACAGCTGTTCTACCTATGCCCCTTGTGCAGAATGTAGGTTGTGCTCAGGGTAGAGCAGCTACTAGTGAATCTTCAAGGGAGGAGCTGTCTGATGAAGAAGCACTGAATGGAGAGGTAGAAAATATGGATCCTGGTGATGCAAAACGGTTTAGAAGGTAATTATGGTTTTTACCTTTTGCTCTTGAATTGTGCCCTTGCATAATCACAAACTGTTCCAACACGTTGTTCGTATCCTGGATATGCAATTACATTTTGTATACCACATTTATATTGTATTTGATTCCAGACTTCTTCAATGTAAACAAGTGGGCTATATTAAATCTCAATTCTGCCCGTTAAAGCTAACTCATAATGTTGACGTGCAGCACTAAATTTAAGGCAAACCTTTTTTTTTTTTTTTTCCTTACCTAATATATGCGTCTCTTTGCTTTATATTGCTGTTTTGTTGTCTGTTTTGTCATTTGTTTATACACTGAAAGTTAACTGCCTTTGTTTCTTACTGGTTCGCCTATGTTTTAAAGTTTCCATAGCTCATATTCTTTTCTGTGCAAAGCCATTATCTGCTTGGTTGGTTTATCTGGTAAAATTAAGTGCTGTTTTTAGAAGATGAAAAGGCAGCAAAAATGGACTGAAAAACTGTTGTTATCCAATAGTTTTACATGACTTTCATTTTCAACTGTTCGCTTGTTCAGGATGCTCTCAAATCGTGAGTCTGCCAGGCGTTCTAGAAGAAAAAAGCAAGCGCATTTAAGTGAGCTTGAGACACAGGTCTGGCATGATAAGCTATTTATCCCTTGATTGCTGTTTATCTTTTATTAATAAGCTTGCTCTATTAACTCAGTGGCCCTTGACGTACAGGTTTCACAATTAAGAGTTGAAAACTCGTCCCTATTGAAGCGTCTTACTGACATGAGTCAGAAGTACAATGAAACCCTGGTGGAAAATAGGATTCTTAAAGCAGATGCTGAGACCTTGCGAGCTAAGGTAAACTACACACCGTACTTGAAAGCATGCTGATCTTATGGTTTGTTGGTTGTGTTATTATTTCCTGGTATATTTTTTTGTATTATCTGTCCTTTCTGGATCTTGTGGATTAAAAGTCACGTTATTTTATTTTATCATAGAAAATTTTTCTGTTGAATTTTTGCACGCCTTAGGGGTTCCTTGAGATTAGTGTTTTAAATTTTTAGCCTTTAGCAAATTTGCCGTCTAGGATATAAAATGATGGTTCTTACCTAGGGCTTGCTTGTTTCTTAGTTTAAGGCTGAAAGGATGTTGAACTCAAAAGTTTGATTCCCATGAAGAATTTAACCCAAAATAATAATATTTTTTATTATGCGTTCTTCTCTCTTGAATCCATCCATACTTCCATAACAAAACAGCAATTCCCCTGTAGAAAAAATTGCTTGGTTGGTTATAAGTCATGCACGCTCTAGGCCTGTGCTTTCTTTTATAAATCATTCTAAATATCATATACATTTCAGTGCTTTAAGTGCTCATTTTTCTCCTAGTCTTGTGTGCTGTTTAATGATAACTGACTCTCTTTTCATAATTAATTTTTGTTTAACAATTCCATCCATTTTCAATTTACAACGTGAATGTCATTCTGTTTGGGCTAGACTACCAGGAAAAATAGCTAGCAGAGAAGTAAATAGCGTTTGGACGATAAAAAGCTAGAATGTTTTTTCATTGTTTTTCTCATAATTTGGTTTTGAGATGCTATTTTTTGAAAAACTGAATATAAATTGTGTCCATTAAGCAACTTTTATAAGGCTCTACTAGAAATTATAGGAAGTATAAGTCATGCTAAACGAAAGTTCGTGCATGTGCTAACGTGAGAGAGCTTTTAAGTTCAGGGAAAATGGATGGAATGGTCCTGTGATTTGTGATGATCAAGCAGTAGTTCTATGCAATCACAGAAGCTTTGTAGAAAAAAATATATAAATAAATTACTTATAAGTCTGAATGTTTAGATACCTTATTGGTGGCTCAACAAAAATTTGACGTTCAACACAATAGCCCTAGTGGTTTCAGAAAAGGTATCGTAATATGCCTTTGTTGTTAATTTAATGGTTATTGGCCGGTAAAAGAAAATTCTACATCCAAGTCCTACATTTTCGTTTAAGTTGTCTAAAATATATATTGAATTTATGGCTGAGAATTTCCTATTCTCTTTCTTTTTTTAAGACGATATTTGATTGGATATTAGTAGTAAAGACTTCACGGCTCAATTTTAAAAGAAAAAAAAAAACTAAAATAATCTCCCAACTATTAGCATGCGCCGCCCAATTTAAATTGAGAATGAATAAGTAATACAATGACTAGAGAGCCACCTGTATATATTGTTGGCTAGAGTATTCGCGATGGTAAAGTATGAAAAACTTCACGTCTTAGCATTGTACAAGTATCCATCACACAAACAAAGAAAAAAGAAACACCGGAATTGTTTACATGAAAAACCCTAAAGGGACAAATCACGAGGTCATGCCCAGTTGAAATGATTCCACTAGTGTTTGAATATATTACAAATGATTGGATTTTCCTGGAAATTGAGGATGATCATATTACAATAGTTAACCTTCGGGTTGAAATCTAGTGACAAACAGAGATTGGATAGAAATCCAGTGATGTTCGGTTGTCTGACGGAAATCCGATATTAGTTGGCGGCCAGGAGGTAGTATGGCAACATCTGATGGTCGAGCGAAATTCTGGCGTCAGTCGATGGCCGGGCAGACGTCCGACGATAATTCGACAACGGTCGGTGGTCGAGGAGTCTGGTAACAAGATAATTCTTGTTTCTCCTTCCTTCTCTCCCTTCTCTTCCTTGCTTCTTTGCTTTGGTCCCCCTCAATGAAAAATGAGGGGTCTGTTTATAATTTTTTGAGAGTGGCATGACCAGTAAATAGGAGTGAGATCAATGGTATGTTGGGAGTGGTTTGAATGGACGGTTGATATTGATGCCCTTGATCGTAGACCGTTTACTAGACATTTGATCAAAGGTATGTTGGAAGTGGTTTGAATGGACGGCCGATATTGATCCCCTTGATCGTGGACCATTTACTAGACATTTGAATGTCTTAATTATATCATAATTTGGCGATCTTGGGCTCGTTGGATTCGTCTCGTCGAGCCGCTTGATTCGACTATAAGCATGTCATGTTTGGAAATCCTTTGGTCATCCAATTAATGGTTCGAACCTTTCGAAGGCACTTCAGGTCTTCAATTTGGACTCATTTGGGCTCTGATTGAGTTGAATTTGGTGTCGTTGGTTCGTATTTTCGATACATTTAGTTCGACTGTAAGTTTGATGAGATCGGAGTTCATATGGTTCTGAATTTTATATCGAAAGTCTTCAACTGAGTTTTGCCTCAAGATAAAAGGCCGCCGGATCTTCAACCATTTTAACCTAAAATAACGTGGTGAACAACATTTATACATTCAGGATTTGACATTTCTCTTGTTGTTCATTCAGATAAATTAGAATAATCCAGGCATTCATTAGGTTAATTTATATCAAATAATTTTTATAATAATAAGTATTCTAATTTTTCATTCTTAATTAATAAAAAATCACTATGAAATTTTAGTAATTATACCTAAGAAAAATGTTAAAGTCTGTATTTATTACTTTTTGCGATTTTATCATTGCATAACTCCTCATACATTTGATCCTCTTATAATTACAATAATCTTGGCATATTTTTTTCCTCTTGATAAACACGCCATAATACTTCTTTTTCAATTATTGCATCCTCCAATTCTTCAAAATGTTATTGAACATATACAATAACCAAACAAGTTGAATATCACCTGGCCTTAATTTTCAATATCTTCATAGGTATCTCCTTTAAATTTATGTTTATCGAAATACAACTATACCTTGCCTTTTTTTATCAATACAGTATACCTCATTATTTTATTCATTAGGCTATTCCAAAAAGAGTTCTTTCATAAAGCGAGCATCTAATTAGTATAAGTCTTGCCTTTGCTTCTTTCTTATTACTTTGCCCATAATAAAAAACTACAGCTTTTGCTTTTGTTTGTGCATTGTTTGCTATCCTTTTTTGCGATAATTCTGGATTTCTTATAATCAGTATAAGTCTCTATTACATCTACTCTTACATCAAATTTAGCTCAACTATAGAATTCTAAGCAATCTGTCTTTAACAACCTTAATGAAATATTAGCAATTTATCTATTTTTCAAATTTCATTATCTCATCCTAATGTACATTTTTCTTTTATTCATTTTATTTATAGTACTGAGATTTACACCCACAACTAATATTTTGTTTTTTTGTCATAATTTCTTATGAAATTCTCTTACAATTTTAAAAAAAAACATAAATCAATAGCGGGGATTATTTTGAGGAGCATTGTCTCATTTATTAAATAGATTAAATATAAATGCATGTGTGTAAAGATAAACTACTGATGTGTTATGTTATTATAAATACACATTTATGTATTAACATATACTTAAATATGATCATATATCATATATCAAATCAATTTAAAATTGAATAGTCATCTCAAGCGAGTCATCTTCAAGTCAAAAGTATAATGATCTGAAACTCTCATAATCAAAGCTGACAATTCCCATTTTTTTCAGGTAACAATGGCCGAGGACGCAGCGAGGAGAGCTACAGGAACAATCCCCTTCACCATTACACCATCAGAAATATCTTCTGATGCTGCTCTTCCCATACGTGACGATCCTAATCCCCGGTTCATTTCTCCTCCGGCAAAGATGGAAAGATCAGCGTCCATGCAGCGGGTGGCAAGCCTGGAACGCCTCCAGAAGAGGGCAAATTATTAGGTCCGGTCACTGGACCTAAATTTTCGTCTGGATTCCTGCGTTTTTACTCTTCTTTTGATGTATTTTTAAAAAAGAGCAGCTAATATACAATTTCAACTGCATATTAGCTGCTCTTTTGCTACCATTTTATTGATTATTTGAAAAGCACATCAAAAAAGCAACAAATATTCAATGAGTAAGATATTTGTTGCGCCTTTGCTATATTTTTTCAAATACTCAACAAAAAAGCAGTTAAAATACAATTAAAATTGTGTATTAATAGCTGCTATTTTTCAAAAAACATCAAAAGCGCATGGAATCCGAACGAAAATTTAGGCCCGGTGACCGGACCTGATAATTCGCCCCAGAAGAGGATCTGCCGAGGTACAAACCCTTGTGACTCCATTCATTGGGAAACTGAGAACTCTTGCAGCAATAATCAAATCTAGTTTTGAAGCAAATTTTGTTATTTTCATTATTTTGATGGTTGTTGCCATAATGCCATTGAAACCAGCTCCATTTTCTCTTCCTTCTTTCCTCTATTAATAATTATTGTTTTAAATTTCTGCATCATCTTGTTATTTTAGAAGGTAAGTTTAGAAGATATTAGTGGGTTGTCAATTTGTTCTCTCCTATATCGATGGAGTTAGGTGGTTTTTGCTGAAGTTTTGAATTCATTTAGGTTTCAATTAGGACAGCTTTTTTATTGCTTTCTAAAACTATTTTTTAGAACACAAAATTGTTGTACAAATAAGCCTATACTTTTCATTCATTATATATATGTTTAGATTAGTTATGTTATGTTTTTAATTATTTAATTACAAATATATCACTCATGTTTTAAATCCTAAACCAATAAGGCAATAACATATTATTTATCATTTGCTTGCTATAAAATGTTGGAACCATTTTCGAATATTGTTCAAATCTTGTATGAACTTTAGGGCTGCAAGCGAACCAAACGTTCGACGAGCTACTCGTTGTTCGGTTCGATTAAAGCTCGTTTGCGATCGTTTAATTAACTAAACAAACAAACTTGAACAATATTTTAAATACTCGATTCTTAAATAAACAAACTTGAACACTAATGCGTTCAGCTCATTTATGTTCACGAACAACATCATTTGAAGTTCGTGAACAAGCTCAACATTAAGCTCGATAAGAAGCTCGATAAAAATAATTAATATTTGACTATATAATTAATAAATATAAATAATCATCACCTTTGTTACATATACATTTTGCTTTTATTATAAATGTGTTTGTTCATAGATATGTTCATAAACGTGTTTTTTTATAGTTAAAAAAATTTTCGTTAAATATGTTCGCGAACAAGCTCAATAAACACTAAACGAACGAACATGAGCTGAACATGAACCGAACATGAACACTCCTTAATTTAAATGAACCAAACATGAACACAAACGCTAAAGCTCGAACAAACATGAACCAAACTTGAACAAGCTGATATTAAATGAACACAAACATGAACACTCACATACTCGGCTCGGCTCGGTTCGTTTGCAACCCTAATGAACTTTCAAAACATATTCAAACATAATTGAATAATGTTCGAATATGATTCGAACAATATTTGTACAAGATTCAAAGATAGTTCTCACAAGTTTCGAACAACTTTTGAAAATTGTTTTATTTATTGTTTTTTTTTTCTTTTTAATATTAAGGTGATATATTAATAATGAATTTTGTTTAGTCATCTTAATCATTGTTAGTTATTTAATTTTGTTTAATTGTAATGTTTATATTGTTTTGGACAACGCGATGAATTAGGGGTAATTAAAGTACAACTGAGTTGACAGCGACATGAACCAAAAAATATTAAAAAAAATAGGTGAGAACGGTTATTTACTATTTATTTTTAAATTTATCTTCCTCTGAGCCTTTATGGTGTAATTTTAATCATTTATCTTATCCTTTCATCAGACCAATTTATAATATTTTAATATATAAGATATTTTATTGATATATAAATAATAAATAACTATATATATTATTTATTAAGTTAGAGTTCTACTTGCGAAAGCTTCCTTACCGATTTCTTATTGATACGTCACCAAAAAATAATCTCGATCAAGCACGAATCTCGAGGCAAAGTCAAGTTGGAAACTTTAAAAACTAGATCGGAGACCATCTGTATTCCGATTTCAGCAAACTTACAGTCAAACTGATCATCTCAGAAACACAAACCCAACTATACCAAATTCGACCCAATCCGAGCCCAAATGAGTCCGAATCTAGGGCTCAAAGCGCTTTTGGAAGGTTCAAACCGCAATTTGAGTTACCAAACGGTCTCCGATTTTGACGAGCTTATACTCGAATCGAACGGCTCGACGAGACGAATCCAACGAGCCCAAGATCATTAAATTCCGACATCATTAAGACCTCCAAATGGCCAACGAACGGTGCACGATTGTAGGATTCAATATCTGCCGTTCATTTGACCACTCCCTATTCGCCCATGATCTCACGCCTATTTACAGGCCATGCCACTCCAGAAAATCTATAAATAGAGCCATCATTCTTCACAAGAAGGGATGCTGAAGTTCCATCCGAAGCTGAAGTAGCCCCTAACACTGAAGTACCACTACCGGTCTTCCGCCTGACACCGGAGTTCTACCGGATCGCCACCTGCATTGGAGTGACGTTGAACTCTTACAAAACTCTTAGTTGATACTTGTAATCTGGTCGCCTTCAAGGACAAGTCAGACCATTGTACTTTTCTCAAATTCTAGTGGAATCATTTTCAACTGGGCTAGGCCTCGTGGTTTTTCCCCTTTCCCGGGTTTTCCACGTAAAAAATATTGTGTTCTCTGTGTGTGAGCTGAATATTCGTGCAACGCTAAGACGTAGAATTATAACTCTATCGCCGCGTATATTCTAGCCCGCAACAATTATATTATTATTTTAATCTAAATATCCTAATCCACTATTAAGATTTATTAAAACATTTATTTCCTTCATTCGGTCCAAACTGAGGCCATAGATTAAAATAGTAAATTCTTTCAAAATTTAATCTTTGGGCGTTACAAAATATCTCATGAATTTAGATATGGAGTAGTGGTGTCAATTTTTGACACGACCCGAAACAAGACTCAAATTCGACCCGGAAAAATTCGGGTTAGGGTCAACCTGGACCCGAAACGGGTCGGGTTCGGGTTGAACAAATCAACCCGTTTTAAAAATCGGGTCGGGTTCGGGTTGACCCAGCAACCCGAAATTGACCCGAAAGTGACACGAAAACTCATATTTGACCCGAAAACCCGAGATTTACCCGTTCTGACCCGATTTTGACCCGAAAATTGAATATTGACTCGAAAATTAGCAATTTTAGGTCAACTTCGTGTCATTCGTGTCGGGTCGGGTTGACCCGGACCCGAATAGGGTCGGGTTAGGGTCCGGAAACCTAACCCGTTTTTAAAAACGGGTCGGGTTCGGGTTGACCCGAATAGTGCCGGGTCAATTTTGAGTTCGACTCGAACCCGACCCGCTAACCCGAATTGACACCCCTATCCATAATCTATTTCAAAGGATTAGTCTCCAATCTATAAGGATAAAAAAAACAGAGAAATGTAGTCACCATTCTTCAATTCCAAAAGAAAACTAATTTCTCATAAATATAGATTGAATCAGTAGATCTATGTGATAAAATAAATACTCAAATGCCCCTAAGAAAATGATTACCTTGACAACTCCTCCAGGAGTCGTCACCTTATATTTTAGCGTAGTTTATATTTTTCTATTGCTGTTTTCTAAGATCTTACATTTGTTTTGTTCATCATAGGATGATTCATGCGAGGTAATGGAATTAATTGACACTATAATTGTTATGCTAAGAGAGCTTTGCTTTCTTTCATACATTGCTAATTTATGATTGTTTGTGATGCCTTTGGAGGCTATTTTAGATTAAAAAAACATCCTCCATGTCCATTTTGAACTTGATATATTTTATACATTTAAGTACTTCTGCTTGTTGAGCCTTTCAGAATGACAAATATCTGCCTACGCCTTTGTAAGTGCTGTCTTCAAGCATTGAGTTACTGAAAGACATGGATTAGGTTTGATGGTCAATCTACTGGGTAAGATTTTTTTAGTGCCGTGCTTTAAGAAAATATTTATATTTGTTAGATTTGTGAGTCGTTGTTGGGACTATACACTTTTCCTTTGGTATATAAATAAGGAACATCTTATAACTTTACCAATTACCATTCCAAATTTAATAAAAACAAACTTCAGATTTAAAAATATAATGATTTTATTTTTTACTCGTTTTATCTCATTAATTATTGTTCCTTGATTTTTTTTTTGTTTGAATTTTGATGTTATAGTTACAAAGATGATTAAACCATAGGAAAATATGAGCTACATCAAATTCAAAAATATAATGATGTGCTCAAAGTGATTTGGATTGTAATTGATGCATTATGTGTACTATTGCAGCAGATTCGCAAAGAAAAAAAATAATCTGATCCTCAACGGAATATATAATGTGACCCATATCTTTCTATGTTATATAATAGATGTGATCCTGACTGTGTTGACATGGTACGCATGGGGCGAGCACATTTTTTCAAATTATGTGATTTAATGCGTACACAAGGATTGTTGTTAGACACAATAAATGTTCGGATCGAGGAACAAGTTGCTATGCTATTACATACACTTGGGCATAGTGTTCGTAATCGAGTCATCCGATTGAACTTTTATTGCTCTGGAGAAACTGTTAGTAGGTACTTCAAAGCTGCATTATATGTTGTAGGGGAGTTATCAAGCCTCCATCAACTGAAACTCCATATAAGATTAAATCAAGTAATACGTTCATGCCATTTTTTAAGGTATAATCAATTTTCATTCAATGCAAATCTCTCTGTTTATTAAGGAATCCTAAATATACTTTGTGTCAAATTTAGGATTGTATTGGTGCGATAGATGGAACTCATATTAAAGCTAGGGTTCCAAAAGAAAACGAAGTCGCATTTAGAGGAAGGAAACCCTATCCAACACAGAATGTTTTAGCAGTAGTAGATTTTGATTTGAGGTTCACATACGTACTTGCTGGTTGGGAAGGTTCTTCTCATGACGCATCAGTATTTAAAAATGCATTAGAACGATCAGATCGTTTACGTGTCCCAACAGGTAAATATTATCTAGCTGATGGTGGCTACTCCACACGCAATGGTTTTATATCGTCATATCGTGCCACAATATATCACTTGAAGGAGTTCAATTCCATTCAACCTACAAATTCAAAGGAGCTTTTTAATCTATGACATTCCTCATTACGCGCAACTGTTGAGCGTGCATTTGGTTCCTTGAAAAACCGTTTCACAATTATAAAATGTGACCCCTACTTTCCTCTACAAACTCAAGTTGATATAGTGATTGTCTGTTGCATACTGCATAATTGGATAATTACAGAAGGTGGTGATGAATTCATTCAATCCGAGGATGAATGGGCTAGAAGAAGCCACTGTAGAAGAGGAGAGCAAGCAATTGTAGATGATTCGCGAGAATGGCTTGATAAAAGAGATGAAATTGCTCAATTCATGTGGACTCGCATGCAAAATGATGGATATTAGATTTGTTAATTTCATTTTTTATGAATTTACATGTAACTTACTAAGTTCTACTTCTTTGTTTTATTGATTATATTGTTATATGTGGTATTGATCTACTACTCTTATGGACCATGATGAGAATCTTCTATTTATATATTCACAAAAGTCATACCTACAAATATAATTAATGTAATGCCAAAGAAATTGCTTGTTATCTGTCAGCTATCGATCAAAATATTCATGAGTATATTAGTTTGATGGCTGATAGCGTGAATGAAGTTGCTAACGCAATTAAGATCTCAATAACATCTCCAAATCAAATTCGGAATATGTATACTGAACTGATGTTTGAGTTAACAAATATTCCTGGATTCTCAGAAGAAGAGGTTGATACGATATATAATAATTTATAAAAAAATCCCACACTAATACCATCTTTTCTTTCAAAACCTACAGATTCGAAGACTAGATGGATGCGTAAAGAGTTAGAAAACTAATTTAAGTTGTTGAAGATTGTCATATCTATTAAAGTTGTTATCACTATAAACTGTTTCATGTTAATTTGTTGTAATTATAACTACGAACTATGGTTATATTTTTATCTTTTGTTTTTTAATTGTACATTTTCATTAATGTTGTTTATATGTTATGATTGAGAATCATGTTATTTATTGTAGCACATAATGTGCTCAATAGTTTGTAATTTCACAACGTTCAATACATCCTTCAACTTCTCTACTTCCATCCATTCGAGCCATGTTTGCTTCCTTTTTTTTTCTACGCCACCAAAACAGTTTGTCTCAGGGATTAAACTGTATGGTTTGGGATTTATTGTTGTTGTCGTTGATAACTTAAAAGAGTGTTCATCTTATATGACAAATTTTGTAGGTTATGTATGGATGATCTTACAAGGAGGCATCCCTGATGTTCTTTTTCGTTATGTTTGAATGTTATGTTTTCTTTTGGTTGGCATGTGAAAATATCCATGCCACACAGCTCACTTTGCTCCGTTTTGAGAGTTTTGGAAGGCTTCATTTGGAACAACTTTCATATTATTTTTTACAACGGTTTTTTAGTTAATTTTTGCACTGAAAAGTTGTTTTAGAAAGCAAGAAGAAAGCTATCCCAAACGAAGTTTAAATAATCAATGATTACTTTTATAAATACACAAGTTATAATGACAAAAAAAATTACAAATACACTGTTTTTACTTTACTATGAATATATCTAACCAAACAAGAGAAATATTTCTCCTGAGTTTACTTTGCAGATAACCAAACAACCTCAAAGTATTTGAAATGCACTACATTTATTTTACATTGTGTTTAATTTGCAGGCAACCAAACAGCCCCGAAAACAAAGCAAATTTCTTTGATTTTCATGCATCAAATTTTGAAAGGGCAAATAATTAGCTACAAATTGCAAATTCTCTTAAACCAGGAAATAAAGGAGAGAGAGTGCAGAGAAGCCAAAGCAACGCAGTTTCGGATCTGGCTCCCGCGCCCTGTCACCATGAGGATGCCCAACCGCCAGCAGGCGGACTCGAAGACCACACCCGCTGCCGGAAGTCTTCGGGACGCGGAGTCGCTCTTCCGCTCAAAGCCGATCCATGAGATCCGCGCCGTCGAAGCCGCAACGCGCCGCGATATCGAGCAGAAGAAGGAAGAACTCCGGCAGCTTGTTGGTAAAAGCTACCGCGACCTCATAGACTCTGCCGACTCAATCATCCGGATGAAATCCTCCTGCGACTCTATCTCCTCCAACCTCTCCCTCATCGAAACCGCCCTCCGATCGCTTTCTCCCTCCACCACCGACTCGCCTCACACCGCCCCCGACCCTGCCCGCGGCAAGATCTACGGCATTGCGTGCCGCGTCAAGTACCTCGTCGACACGCCGGAAAACATCTGGGGATGCCTTGACGAGTCCATGCTCCTCGAGGCCTCCGGCCGATATCTCCGCGCCAAGGAAGTGCATGGCCTCCTTTCCACAGTTGCCGCCGATTCCGACGTTCTCTCCCGCTTCCCGCTGCTGCAGCACCAGTGGCAGATCGTCGAGAGCTTCACGGCCCAGATCTCGCAGCGCAGCCGGGATCGCCTCATGGACCGTGGCCTTACTGTTGCTGCATACGCTGACGCTCTTGCCGCCGCTGCTACCATTGATGATCTCAACCCTAAGCAGATTCTTGACATCTTCCTCGACTCGAGACGGGCGTGGATCTCGCAGAAGCTCGTTAGCTCAGCGGCAGATGACAGTCCCACGGCGGTGCTCTGCGACATTGCAAGGGTAATTAGGGCTAGTTTAGGGCAAGTTGGACAACTCTTACGTCATGCGTTGAATGAGATGCCACTGTTTTACAAAATGGTGCTTGGTTCGCCACCAGGGACGCAGCTGTTTGGGGGAATCCCCAATCCGGAGGAGGAGGTAAACCTTTGGAAATCCCACAGGGAGAAGCTGGAATCTGTGATGGTTTTGCTGGAGCCGGAATTTGTAAGTCAGACATGCTCTGCATGGCTGCAGAGTTGCTGTGATGAGATCTTTGCACAGTCTTCTACTGGTAAGGGACTTATTCAAACTATTTCAAGTGGTGAAGGGCTAGTGGCTGCTGAGAAGATGGTCCAGGAGGCATTGGATGGATGTGAGGGGTTAGAGGAGAGCTTGGAGGAGTGGCTCAGGGGTGTCTTTGGTTCTGATATCAAATCCCCTTGGAAGCAAATCTGCGGGCTTATTCTGAAAGATGGCAAGGATATCTTCGAGGATAAAATGGAACAAGCATTCCTGCTGAGGATGAAAGAAATTGTGCAATCTGGATTTGACAACTTGACAAAAGAGGTTAGCGTTAAGGATTCAGTTGAAGCAATTGTATCGGGTCTCAATGGTGCAAAGGATTTCTCTGAGTACCTGAAGAAATCATCAAAGGGTGGTGGAGTTTGGTTTTCGGAGTTTAATCAAAAGAGAATAGGACTTGCCCTGAATTTCAAACCAGCTGCTAATGAGAATGACTTCCGCAACTGTCTCAATGCTTATTTTGGACCAGAGGTCAACCGAATTAGGGATCTAATAGATAAGAGATTGTGCAGCATTTTGGATGATCTTTTGTGCTTTATAGAATCACATAATGCTACAACAAGATTAAAGGAACTAGCACCACATATTCAAGATAAATGTTACAAGGCAATATCAGCCCTATTAGGGGAGACTCAAGAGGAGATTGGCAGCCTCTCTGTTTCTTTAGTTAACAAAAGAATGAATAATGAATCTCAGCCTTCTCCTGTAATTGTGGAGAGATCTCTTTTTCTTGGACGTCTCTTGTATGCATTGCGAAACCATTCAAGTTATATTCCACTCATACTTGGTTCTCCCCGGCAATGGGTGAAGCAAACAACTGGCTCAGCATATGCTAGCTTGGCCTCGCCTCTATCCAAACAATCCAAAGATACCTTTAACTCTCCAATATCTTTTAGCCCTAGAAGACCTGCTTTTGATAGACCTCCAAGTCCTGGACAGTCTCTTGAAACCCCTAAAAGGCAAGCTATTTCAGCTGCTGCTGCATTATTTACAGTTGATAACAGTACAAACATAAAATATGAAGAGTTGAGTAGAAAACTTCAGGATCTTTGCATCGGAGCCCATGGCTCATGGATTACTTGGGTTGCCAATGAGCTATCTATCATTTTGTCTAACGACCTCAATCATGATGATGCTCTTTCTGCGACAAGCCCTCTGAGAGTATGTATATTCTTTTAAGAATTGCTAGATTTCCATCTTGCATATCTACTTCTAATGCTAGTATATTTTTGGTATCTATAATCTACTGACACTCTTCTTTTGATGCTTTTCATGTTATTACTTCTCTGAAATAATATTTCTCCTCCTTCATTCTCGCATAAGCTATCTGATGTTGATGGGAGTTTTTTTCAAAGCATCTTACAAGTGATGTTAAGTTGGTTCTGTTTTGTGGCAAGATTTGTTTACAAATAATGTTGACTGCCTAGGTGTCTCAATAGACTTTCTGAAAACATGAAGGAAAAGCCCCGTTATTAACTGATAAGACATCTAGAAGACTTAGTTTTATCTTGTTGCTTTTTTCCTCTAGTTTAATAAGTGAAGAAATCGAAAAAAAAAACAATTTACTGGTGTAAGACTGCAAACTCTTCAAGTGCTAAATGATCAACCTAGTGTATGGCATAGAAAAACTTGACAAAGTGTAAACTAAAATTTGTATGGTAAATTAACCCATGTTGATAACTAAATGGAAGCGACAATTGAAATGACTAAGATAATTTATTATTGGGGGACATCTTTTTTCCCGTTTTTAGTTTGTCTTTTTGAAGATTGCTGAAATAGCCTGACTTCATGTCTATATCGCTAATCTGAAAATATATTAGCGGTCAACCTGCTGGTTCACATGGAGAAGAAGAAAAATAGGGTTGGAGATTAACCAAATGTTGCTTAATTTATTTACTGTTGGTTGGTAAACATGCGGAAATTTTAAATTTTATAATGAAACTTCAGGAATGCTCCAAGCATTCTTAATACCATCATAGATGCCTAGGTATGTTGTTTCTCATTGCTCTTTTACTGCTGCAAGAAGTAATTTTAGTCATATTGAGTGCAAAAAGAATAGTGCAGTGTCAAAAGATTAAATGATCAACTGTCATATAGACTATGGATAATGCTTGCTAATCACAAAAATATTCCATGAAAGACTATTTTTGCATTTAAATGATATTTGAAAGATCCTGTAAAATTAATTATTTTTTCCACATCAAAGATTGAGTCATGATATTTAAATTGTAGATTCTATGAATGCTAGTTCAAGCAGGTAGCTATCACACTTTGGCTATCTTTTTGGTGTTAAAAGTGAAATGAACTTTCAAGTATAAATAATGAATTAATCAATGACTCTTTACTTTTTTTTTTTGATGTAATATGGAATTTTTTTTGTTAAACTTCTCATCCACCTTTTTTTTTATTTTTTATGTATGGAAATGAGGAATTTTATAATTTTTGAATTAAATTATTGATGATGAAAGATTTTGATCAATTTCTCTTTTGAGCCATTGAGCGCTTTAAACATGTTTAGTGTGTTAGTGTGTATATGCAATTACTAAAGAAGAAAATTATATAATTATGAAATTAAATCATGTATAAGGTTATGAATTTGAAGTCTACAAATAAGTGTGGATATAAGAGAATGTTAAAAAATGATCAAGGGAAAATGTTGAAACAAAAATGAGGATATGAAGTCAAAGAATGCTGCTAGTCCCTTGAGCCAATCAATCAATTTAACAAATTGAAGCCATACATCACCAAGTGATGCCTACAAACATGAGAATTGAACATGACGATGCATGAGATTAGCGTTTATGTTTGTTATGTGCTTGCCATACTTCATTTAAAGGAGAATTCATGAGGAAAATATGTTGCTTGAAGCTACGTATAATTTACTGATGGAGATTCCCTAAAAGATGTTCACCCTATGGGAAGGCCTCATATTGGATCACCTTGAGGATCCAAATTTGGATTCCTAGCTTGGACCATGAGCAATATAAGGATCCTTTTAAGCGCTAAAAGTTTAAAGAATTTTTTCTTAGGTATTTGTGGCAAATTAAAATTCTTTCAAGTGTTAGTTAGCGTAGATGTTGATATAATGATCATGGGTGTGCCTCGAGCTTGATTAATTATGATAGAGATGCATTTGATTGATTCAAACCCAAGCCAACTTAACTATACCCAGCTAGTCTTTTTGATATAGAGATGGTTGGAAGTACCATGTCAACTATCAAGGCCATTTTTGGGTTATTGATGGCTCATGCACCAATTAAATACAAGTGCTAATGTATCAACAGCTCTTCCTTAGGGTTCATGCCCCGTTGATTTGTTAATTGATGACATCTTGGAGCAGAAGAGTGTTCCGTCATGATGGACTTGGATAACTTGGCCTAGGTTGGAATGATCAAAGTGGTCTAGTCCGTGTCAGATCTTCCTTTGTTCGTTTCATCTTTAGGTTTAATGCCACATTAATTTTATTGATGCGCATCAAAGAGGGAAAAAGGGACGTCTTGATTGACTTGGCCTAGGTTGAGATGATTCAAGTAGTCTTGGCCTTGCCAATTTTCTCCCATTTACTTTTTCATGCCTAAACCATGGTGAGGACCATTGTTATGGTGAGGACCATTGTTATTTCCTTTGTTGGAAGCAACAAGATGCTGGAGTCGAAGCGTCACGTGCAGACGATCGGGCATAGCTCCATATTGTATGAAATAAGCAATAGAGTAGTGGTGGCCATTGGCAAGGGCTGATGACTTTAACTGCTTCATGTGAGGAAGTAGGATGCCTTAGAAAGTGGTTGGCATGGTAATGAGTTTCTTTGGTTGTTCGCTCTCCCTTATACTTGGTAGGGAAAGGGAAAAGTTCAATCACAAGCACCATTAGATGAGATTATGAACAACTAGTTGGATGCATATGAGTTCATGGTGGTCAGAGAGAGGAACTTTTGAATAGGATCCTTTATTTTATTTTTTTCACTTTGTAACTTTGTGAATACTAATGCTCATTTATAATTTAGATTGATAATTAGTTAACGGAATGAGTTTGTGTGGAACTAACTTGTCCTATCATACATGCTTTTACCGGAGAAAATCGATGGGTTATATGTGTTTCAAGTGACTATTATTTTTAATTTGATGCAAGGAATGGTCAATGTGATGAGTATAGGCTTTTTGAAGGTTAACTACGTTGTAGAGATTATAGTTTTACTAATAACTTAGAATTGGGTCCAAGAAAATGATATGCAAATGAAAGCTTAATGCAAATAACTACTTTTGGTATTAGAATGTAAGCATGTTATAATTATGTAAAAGATTTAATGTTTAGGTCATAACTATGGATATGAGACATTTACTGAATAATGCTGCACTGCATAAAAGGGTTACAATATTAATTTTAAGGGCCGGATTTAGAATGAAAGTACTAATAATAGATTGTGAAGCATCAGATTTCTCAGTGGTGAATGCGCCACAATAGAAAGATAAAGAGTGATCATGTAAACCAATGATGGATATGTATTAATTATTTATTTCCACAGGAAATTATAATATTGTTGTACTTGCAAGATAGTTAACTTTATAATTTAAGAAAATTAGGTGGTCTTGTGATAGGAAACACTTGTAGATCTCAAGTATTTCCTATCAATATTCGGAAAACAGCGAAAATCCTCCACAAGAATCCATACAAAACCAAGAAATTAGTAGAAAATTTGTATTGTTTGATGAAATAGAAATAGAAAATAGCAAGATACAGTTGATCCTCAATTCGAGAGGAGGATCTATCTCTCCCAAATCTCTAGATTCCGCTAGGGCCCAAAGAAAATCTAAATCTAGGAGATCTCAAATTTCAGCCAAATTTAAGATGTCCTAACCCTAGGAAAACAAACTATTTAATGCATACAAATCAAAAGGAAATCTCTAAACAGTCTCTATATTCAATTTCCCTCCTAAACTCCCTAAAAATCCTTCCAAAATTGGCTCCCGTGGACTTGCGGCTCGCGCGGCTCGTACAGGGAGGCGGAAGACCTCCGCCATTTCACGCAGGGGCCATTCCCACGTGGACTGGCTGGACTGGTCTAACCATACTTCCCTCCCAAAGATCCACCTTGTCCGAAAGGTGGAAAGACGATGCCCTCTTCCATTCCTTCTTCATCACAAACGGTAAGAACCTGATGATGTAAAACGAACAACAAGAATTGTAGGGATTAATAAGAAAGTTGTGTTTGCGATACAATTATAAGTTAATGTTTCATTTAAGATTAGATTCTCGGTTTCCATAGTTGTAAATTTGATTTGGCATGCAGTTACAGTTTTAGGTTAACAGGATGATTCAAAATAACAACAAAAGATAGTAAAACTAAATATGCAAATAACAAGAATCAGTCACATAACAAATAGAACTTTCATCTTTGATTTTCCCTCACTCACACTCTATGAACTAGGCTCATGCAGGAGAAAACTTACACAATAACAAGGTTGCCACTAAAGGACAATAGGCGCTTAAGATTCTTGGTCAATAGAAAGTTTACCCGAATATGAAGAAGACGGCAGCTGTGTGAAGACTTCTAGACAGCAAACGGAAGCTCCCGGATTGTTGGACAGCAAGGGCAGCTTGCTAGAATTCTTTCTGCAAAGCAAAATTGAAACTCTGGGTTTTGGGACAGCAAGTTAATTTGCTGTAGTTTTCTGGAAAGCAATTCATGGATCAACCAGAGGCCCGACAGCAGTGTTGTGATGGCAGGAAATCCCCTCTAGGTCACAATCTAGGAGAGAGTTGGGTTGGGGAGTTGTTGGGGGGAGATTAGTTCAAATCTGACATCAATTTCAAGTTTTTGGTGGAATTTGAATGAAGAAGATTTGAAATTTAGAATTTCAAACAAATGGGAATAAAGGAGGGAAGAGGTAATTAAAATCCTCTAATCTTAGGATTTAATTAGGAAACAAACTAAATAGAAAAAGGGAGGAAAGGGGGCCGGCCAATGGAGGGAGGAGGAAAGCGTCCACATTCAACGAATGTGGATCTTTGCATTGAATGTTGATTGATGACTCCAAATGTGAATTAATTTCAGATTTGCATCCATTGGGGAGAGAGGGATTTAATTGGGGGAGAGAAAAAGGAAAGGGTAGGGGGCGGCCAAAGGAGGGGAGGGGAAATTATGTCAGCATTCCATGTATGTGGTCCCCCATGCAATGAATGTAATTGGATGATTAAATCTGATTTTAAATTCAGATTTATGGAGATTGGGGGTTGCCTAAAATTTTGATTGATTAATATGGTAAGAAATTGAATTTCAAATAATTTGATTTCAAATAATAGATTTCCAAATTAATAGAATGATATTTTAGGAAAGTATTGAAGTGGATGTAGGAATTTGAAATTTAGGGTATGAGACTTGCATGGCCGGCGGCTATGGTGGTTTTGGGAAGGCCGACAGCTGGAGGTTGGCCGGAGGGAGCTAGGGGTGACAGCCTGGCAGCTGGAGGTTGGTCGGAGGGAGCTAGGGGCGGCGGCCTGGCAACTGGGGAAGGCCGACGGAGGGGAGGGAGAATCGGTTGGTTGTGGGGAGGAGGGAGGAGGGAGGAGGGGTCGGCGGCTTAGGGGTCTTGGGCTAGGTGACCGGTGGTGGTAACCAAGGGAGGAGGGAGAAGGAAATTCTATGAGTAGTAACCGCGAGTCCCGAAATCCATCGGTCTGACGGGTGATGCAAGGTCCTCTAGGGTGTATCCTCTCAAGAACTCACCCCCCCACATCATGTAATTCCATCATTGTGAACTTCTTGAAGTTGTCCCTAGGTCTTCCTCCTGCGGTCTTTTCCTTCGAATCCCCCCGAAGAGTATCCGATGTTGGCTCCTTGGATTTCAATAAGGTGGTGGTCATCCTGTACGGGTCTCCTGTCTCTCTCTCGAGGTGTCTTTGATCTTCTACCAATTGAGCTAGCTCCATAGCCTCTCCCAAGTCACGAGGCCTCATTATTCTAACCGTTGCCCGGATCTCTGGTGTTAATCCTTTCATGAAATTTCCCTCTAGCACTATCTCAAAAAGGCGGTCTAATCGGCTAGCAAGGTACTCGAACCTCTCTCAATACTCTATCACTGAATCATCCTGCGTCAAGACGAAGAACTGCTCATAGAAGTTTTCTCCCCACCGGTTCGGAAATGTTCTGTCAAACAATCCTTGAACTTCCTCCAACTCCATATGGTTCCTCATATGTCCCTCCATTGGTACCAAACCAAAGCTTTCCCTTCCAAACATAGGTCTGCTACCGTCAGTCTCTCCTCCTCTATTAACCCATTGACAACTAAATATCTTTCAACCTTGTAGATCCACCCGTGCGCATCCTCCCCCTCAAAATTGGCATCTTTAATTTCCTCACCCTCGGATCGCCTTTGTTCCCTCCATAATTTCACATTCCCCGAGGGGGTGGTTTCTCTCAAGTGTCACAATCATTCCTTCTATGTTCATACCCAAACCTTTTATCAAATTCCCACCTTCTCCTCTCAAATTCATCACCCCTTGAATCATAACAAACTCTTTCCCTTTCAAATTCAGCTCCCCTTTGATCATAATTACTCATTTCTCTTTTCGATCTCGCCCCTCTCCTCTTCAAATCAGCACATCTTCGTTCTTGCCCTACCTCCTCACTCCTCCCCTCATACCCTTTGCCCGGCTTCTCCATAGAAATAGGCTCTAGGAGAGGTATTTTTTCTTCTCCCTTTCGAGTCTCCACTTCCCGATCTCCCCTTTGCTTGATTAGCTTAGGATTTTTCCCATCTCCGTGATTGTTGGCGCCTTCCCTCACCTCCGACGGCAATATTTTGATTTGGCCCTCGAGCACTTTCTTCAACTTCTCCTCCAAGATGAAAAATTTCAAATTGAACTTATCATGGATGGCTGAGACATCTTTTTTTTAAATCTGAAACTTGAGTTTGGAGATATGAAATTTTAGATTTCATTTGTCCAATCTCCACTTTGAAGTGTTCCTCCAATGCATTCATTTTCTTGGCCGCCATTGATGCCTGAATTGTTGTAGAAATAAAAATTTGGACTTCGATCTTCAAAAACAGCAATTTTCTTTGAAATCCCAAGAACAGCCACTGAAATTCACAAAAACAACCCACAAAAAGTCCCAAAAACAACTCTGATATCAATTTGATAGGAAACACTTGTAGATCTCAAGTATTTCCTATCAATCTTCGGAAAATAGCAAAAATCCTCCACAAGAATCCACACAAAACCAAGAAAACAGTAAAAATTTTGTATTATTTGATGAAATATAAACGGAAAATAGCAAGATACAGTTGATCCTCAATTCGAGAGGAGGATCAATCTCTCCCAAATATCTAGACATCGCTAGAGCCCAAAGAAAACCTAAATCTAGGATATCTTAAATTTCAGCCAAATTCAAGATGCCCTAACCCTAGGAAAACAAACTATTTAATGCATACAAATCAAAAGGAAATCTCTAAATAGTCCCTACATTCAATTTCCCTCCTGAACTCCCTAAAAAATCCTTCCAAATTGGCTCCCATGGACTTGCAGCTCGCGCGGCTAGTACAAGGAGGCGGAAGACCTCCGCCATTTCGCGCACAGGCGGGTCCCGCGTGGACCGGCTGGACCGGTCTAACATCTTGATTTGATGATCTTCCATATCCATACTCGTAAAGATCACCGGTAAAACTTGGGTTAAGAAAGCATCTTGAATTATTGCGAAGCATGTTAAGTAATGAAAGCTATTTCACCAAAATACTTTGGTTTTTCATTTTTCTCTTATTCGTTTTTATACTTTAGTTAATCAAAACTTGTTCATAATTGGTTTAATCATTATTTAGCAAGCTATTGAATACCTGGAATGAAGTATTTATAAACAAATCCATTAGTTAATTAATCGTTATGCATCTTTAGCTTTATGCATATTAGATAGGCATCTTGTAGCAAACACATGTACTTGCTAAAGGTGTCAGATATTGTTGTTAGTCCGATGTGAAAATTTGTAATAGTTCTTTGACGTTCTTAATTGTTCTATGTTTAATAGTTTCTTGGCCATTTCATATACCAAGGCTGTATGCATTAGTACTTTTGCTTGTTTTTATGATCCATTGAGTGATAATATTGTGCTTTGATTAGGGTTGGGAAGTGACTGTGATCAAGCAAGACGAACCTGCTGAGGATCATTTAGAGATGCAAATAGCTCTTCCTTCCATGGCTTCACAGTACATTGTTTCTTTCCTCTTCCAAGCATGCCAAGAAATTCATAAAGTTGGAGGGCATGTTCTTGATAGAGTTATCCTGCAAAATTTTGCCTCTGAAATGTTAAAGAAGGTCTGCTGTCTGTCTTATTGCTGCATATTGGAATTTTTTTTTTTACAGAATATCTATGGACCATCGCTTCTTTTCAACTTAATTTATTTCTTGCTGCTCATTGATTTAATTTAATTATTTAGGCTATTTTTGCTGATCGGTGCAAATAAGGGATGATTCTCTGTTGAAACTTTGCCTATCATTCAGTAACAATTGAGGCCATGCAATGGCCTGTGTGAATAACACCTTGTTGTTTTGCTATTAAAAACCTGATAGGCTAATAGTCATTTTCTTCAGCTTTTATGTTTGCTTGTTTATTTGGATATTGTCCCAGCTTTTAGTAGGGCGAGGAATTTAAGTAATTAAGTATTCCTTATAAAGTGCACTAAATTATTCTAATGTTATCACCTATATCCATATATTTATTATACACTATAGATAACCAATCTTTGTTTATGTGAAAAGTGAGCTTAATTTATTATTTGTTTATGTGAAAAAGTGAACTTAATTTATTAATTTCCGAATGCATGTGTTGGTATTTTTATCATTATATACTTTACTGATCTGCTTAAATGTTATGACTATTCTTGACATTGCAATTTCATCTTCTTCCATCATCACATGGTTAAAGTGGTGTTTTTATTATTAAACTCTTGGTCAATAGATTAACTTGAACACATCAAAGCTTTGATAGTAAAGGTCAACTTTGATACAACCTCTTAAGTTCATGTTGTTATTCTTGATCTGTGATAGTTCGATTTTTATATAACTGATTGTGATTTGGTTTCTCTATTATATAAATGGCTTGTTTCACGAAGTTTCCCTCTAATATTATTTGTTCTTGATTTTATGTCACACTTTTAGTTTCTTCAACAGAAACATATCGTCTTTAATTGAAATACTATATTTTTAGTAAGCCCGTTTTTAGATTTTGATTTCATGGCTGTTGCCTTCTTGAAATTTGTATAGATCTTAGTGTTTGTTTAGCTTTGCTATTTCTTTCAATGATCATTGTCATGAGCATGCTAATCCAATTGATGCACAGGTTGTTGAAGTCTATGAAAACTTTCTTGCAAAAGTGGAGGCACCTGAATCACATATATCGGAAAAAGGTGTTCTGCAGATTATGTTAGACTTAAGATTCTCTGCTGATGTTCTCTCTGGAGGCAAGGATGTAACTTCCATTAGCGTTGAATTGACCCCTGGAAGGAGAAAACTTGTGTCATCTTCGGACTCAAGTTTTATGGAGATTGTTTCAGGGCTAATACATAGGTTCTCACAAAGATTGGATCCCATTGATTGGGCCACGTAAGATCTGCAACACTCTTGAAGTTCACTCATTTTAATTTTTACCTCTATCATGTTCGAAAAACAGAATGGATGAATGCTTATTGAAAAATATATTATTTTTGGATAATTTTTATGTGCTATATGTTCCTACTTATAACATATTAATTTTTTAATATATATTTTCAACCAGAATAGTTGATTTACCGATCTTTTGATTTTCAACCAGGTTTGATTAATTATGGTCTGAATACTTCTCTTTTTTGTTTTCTTTGTATTATAAACTTTCATTCTGGAATTTGCAGGTATGAGCCTTACCTTTGGGAGAATGAAAAGCAGGCATACAAACGATGTTCTGTACTCTTTGGGTTCTTTATTCAGCTTAATCGCCTCTATGTCGATACTGTTCAAAAATTACCTACAAAGTCCAATACAGAATCAAATATATTGAGATGTTCTACAGTTCCAAGATTTAAGTACCTTCCAATCAGGTACCTACAAATTTTTTCGAAATATATATTTTCTTCAATTCCAAATCAGGGCACACCAATACCATTTACTTGATTACTATTGTTATGAGTCGAATGTTTGCTTCACAAGTTGCCATATGTTTATATTTGTTTGAGGGGTTTGAAGGTTGCAGATCATGCTAATTAGCTCTTTCAATAGCTAATCAATTGATTATATCTTTGATTAATTAAGGACAACTTGTAGTGTATGAGAACTCAGATGTATTTTTTTCATTCACAGAAGAAAAGTGATTATATTCCTTCTAATTTTATTTTTATCATCTATCACTTTATATAATTTTCATACTCAAGATTGTACTATTAATTGTGATCTAAAACATAAGAAATACATGTGGATCAAGTTTATCTATTTTAGTGATGATTTAACCATTCAAAGCATGTGAAAAGTATAAAGATGGTTGGATGACATGTAGAATCTATTTTAAATGTCTAATTTTTCTCATATATTTCACCAATCATATTACTACACGCCCATACATGCACGCATATGCACACATGGATCATCATTAGCCTAATGCCAACTATTTGGAAATAGATTTCTGAATCTTAGACCCCCCGCGACGAAATTGATCTTCGACGAGATTGTTAGAGATCTAATGGATTGTCCCAAGACAATCTCTTTGGCTTCAAATCCTCTCGATCCTCACCTAGCTTCAATCAAGTAGGTTCTAGGGTTCTATATTCTTCTCAAGGCATCAGCTCCGTCCCTCCAAGAGGATTCTCCTTCTCGGTGAATTCTTCTTAATGCTATGTCCAGTTGGATCTATATGGGCTTCGCATCCTAAGGGGATACTCTCAACAACTTCTTCATCGAATCATTGGCCAAAATCATCTCTCCCCAAGGAGGTTGGTCTGATTAGCAATTTTCCCAAGCAGTCATTCCACCATGGTACGCTTGGCTCTTTTCCTTTAAGGTATGCCCTCAATAATTTCCGAAGGGAGCTCAACCCTGTACTCTCTTTACCTTCTTGACCAAGTTGTTAGTATCCTTTTGCCAAAAAGCACTCGAGGTCAATAGCTAAGCACCCTCACTTTGATTTTATTTGGTACATCTCTATGAACGGTCAGGTCTTCACCCAAAAGAGGAAAGGTGTTAACAAATATTGTGATGTGCGGTACTTTTTCCCATCCCTCCCTCTATCCATGACCCAAATGATAAGTAATCCTTTGCAACATGGCGCGCTTTCCAAAGTCACCCCTCTAACCTAACATTGCATTTTATAAACTTCACCTCACTCACTTGGCCCTATTTAGTGGCTATTTCTTCCGGTTAATCCCAGGATGTATGAGGGCTATATAAATTCCTCTTTAGCTCCTTCGAAAGCAAGGGAGATAAACATCCTACACAAGGGTGAGATAAGTGACAGAATTGTAAAATAATATAGGGGAGAGATAGACGCAAGGTAGCAACACCCAATAAAAAGAGCAGCTACCAACATTCACAAGCAGAAAGGAGTGAAAGTAGATAAGTGGTCTTGTAACTCATGATTTTTTAGCATTTTTAGGCCCTTGTAATAGATCTAATCATTCTCACCCTATTTTTTAGTCCTTACAAAAATATACTTCTCAACCAGTATTAGGCTTTGGCCAAACTCTCCATTTGGCTTCCCTTTACTCGTTATCTTGGCGTGAGAGGAAGAGCCAGTCACCCCCTTAGATTTTTCTACATGAAACCTTTGGAATACCCTTACTAATGACAAACTTGTTAATAAGGACTTTTGCTAGAGAATACCATGTTATTCGAGCATAGGAGGTAAGGAAGAATTTGAGTCCTAGTGGTGTAGTGTAATAACCGATAATGGTCTGTGATTTTCACGTCGCTCATATGTTCCATGCAAAATTTTGCTTGCACATCTTTGAGCCAAGACATGTTTTCTTGGAAACTTACCTCACTAATCTTTGCCTGTCAGGGTCTTCTCATTTTATTACTAAAAAGCTAATGTGCACGGCTTTAGAGCTTCATTCAAATACTTTGTAATAAATATCAATGTATCATTAAATTTACAGAAGGACTCTGCTTTTCAATAAAAATACAACATTCCATGTATGATATATTTTGCATGCTATGTTGTTTCTAAACTTCCCAATCATGTTAAGTTAGAGGCCAAGAGTGAGAGCTTGACATTCATCATGTGCTCTCTTCCATCGCCTGTGCATGATTTAACTCTGTTGTCTCTACAATGTGCCGTGATATAGATTTATTTATCTTGCATAAATCACTTCTTAGTTGATCTATGAGAATAAACCCTTTGCTTGAGACAAGATTTAATTACAAAGCAATATTCAAGAGGACATAGTTGTGTCTCTGACCTTAAATCCAAAAATCTGTAAGACATCTCCATAAAAAATTTATTCGGTATCTTTCATTACTTCTTGGGAAGCCCTCTCTCAAGGGATTGAGAGTCTTTTGTTTTATTCTCCTCATTTCATTAGAGAAAGTCCTTCATTAGTAGCCATAATCCTAATCTTATGCCAAGATCCCATATTTATAATTTAATGAGTCTTTTTTTACCATCTTGAGCCCTTGAGAAGATGTATCATTCTCATGTACCCGCTCTACCATTGAGCTTCTTTCTAGAAGTTTCCTCGAACATTCTTGGGTCTTAAGCATCCTTAGTCATCTCCATCAAATCATATGCATACATATCTAATACCCACTGATTCCACCTATAGAGTGGTAACTTAATCTTTTGAGACACTATACCTTTGGCCATGGGCTTTGAATCTTTTTGAACTTATCTCACATATTATTGAGAAGAATATATTTTGGTGATACTTTTAAATGAGTTAGTTTGACTACATTGAGACCCTTCCCTTGTGGTAGCCTGGTGATACAACAATCAACACTTCATAATAGGCTTGTAACCTCTACATCAAGTGGCACGCCTCAAGAGAGAGCCAAGCCTTCTAACAAAGTCTCTCATAAAACATCTATATCTTGGCCTTAACTATTTATCTAGAGCGTAATAACAATCCTTAATGAAGAGTATTATTGGGTAACGTGTTTAAAGATATAATTAACTTTGGTAGATTGTATGCTTGTGGGAAATTTTGATCCCTAAATCTAAATTAATCATGTTTTATCTTCTTAATCATTCTCGAGAAATTTATGGGACCTTGTCTATATTTGTCTTCCATTCATACTCATAAGCCCATGTTATATTTTCTCCTCTTTATTACCAAATGACTTATAACACTGTCAAATAAAAATCTCATAAGGATGTTTTGAAGTTCATGGATTTATGATGATTGTTGGAGATAGTTTCTCTCACAATCTTTGCAAAGTCAGTATGCTCCATTTGTATGACCTGCCCCAGCCGTTTGGCCATTCCGACATTGGTACGCCAGTTATGATCTTAGTTCAACCAAGGGATAAGCTTATCTCGCTCTCAATGTTGACTTGTCAAATTTAAGTTCATTAGGTCATTCCCCTTTGTTGATTCAAAAGTTATATGTGATGATTGTTAGCTATCAAGCACAATTTCTCTTATTATATTATATACACACACATGCATATGCATATGCATGCACGTGCATGTGTGATGTTACTTTGAGCTTTATGTACTCAATAATCATTCAATAAATTCACTAATGCTTCATAATAGAGTTATTTGTAGCTTGAATGTTGTAATGATAGACATGTTGATGATGATTAAACTCTCTAGATTTTTTTTTCACAGTTGAGGAAAGGGTCTAGGGCTCATGAGAGCGACAATCTAAAGTGTTATCCATAATCACTAAAGCAGAGCCTCTTAATTCTTGGAGGAAGCGACCGAAAATATTTCCCTTGATTCACTATGCCTTTCTATTTTCACTTTCCTCTATTTCATAAGACAAGTATTGCTTTAGGAGGAGAAAAGCAATGCTTATATTGTGGGCACTCTTGTTGTTGTCAACCCTACCATTCAATTTTCATCTCTCCAATTTGGCCCTAGCAAATACTCCAAGAATTTCGAAAGGAGGCCAAGTAAGATAAGAACCAAGGCCTAGATGGAGTTGGTTGAGATTGAGATACATTTCCCCACCTTTAATAGATTCAAGCCCATTTCATGGGGCGACAGTAAAGAAAGTGCCCTCATTATTGCCCAAAAGTTTTCATCCACTATAAAGAAGCAGTAAACTTAACAAAGGTTGCTAGCACCAATGCTTTTAGGTCCCATAACCTATAATTCAAACTATACGAAGTTTGGGACAGGTGACTGATATCACCAATGTTAATAGGTCCCATGAACTATATCCAAACTATACAAAATTTTGCAAGTGATAAAGCACAATGAGCGGTGAAGGAAACCCAATTCAAAGAGGTCATGATGAGTGGAATAACCTAATGCGGCACATAGATGGCTCAAGTTCGAGGGAATGAAGAAGTTATTCAAGTTGCCCTTGCCAAAATACTTGAGTAAAAGTTGGGGAAGGAGACCTCTATAGGTCTGTCTAGGGATGACTTTTTATCAACAAAGTCGGTCGAATTTGTGTGTAATTTGATTGCTGCAATGAGAGATTAGAAGAAAATGTTGTAGGTCCTTTGATGGTAGATATTGCTAGTAACAGCTATCGGTCAAACATTTGAAGTTCTATAGTAGCAAAAGGCAAGGGTGGGAACCTGTAGATTTGATACCATAGGTTTCATTGGGAATGGCGCCGCAAGCAACTCATTGATCTTTCTAAGCATGTGTACGGAAAATATATAAACATGTTTGAGATGAATCAAATTTCCTTCCCCCTAATTCCGAGAGAACATGAATCCATCCAAAGGCATCCTTGTAGGTAGCACCCTTAGGTCTAAGAAGGGAGGAAATTTCACGAAACTTGTCAGTCAACTCGTAAGATAGTATACGATAGATCATAGATGATGTGAATGATTTTGAGTTAAGGTTAGTGATGCTCCTTGGATTGCTTGTTTATGAGTCACATCTCCATGACCCATAACAAGTGTCCCTGATTAGATCATACTAATTTTTTGGATTAGGTTGAGGGTGAAGACTAGTGCATAAACGACAACGCCCGCAATCCACTAGTGGTGATAACTCAACCCTCCAACTTAAAAATAGGAAGTTTTAGCAGCCCAAAGTCTCAGGCTTGACAAAACTTCCTTGAAGGATGCTTGAATTAGCACAGCTATATTCCATGGCCTTATCAATCACTTCTCCAAGACCCACAAGAAGTGTTCATTACTAGAAGATACTAATTTGCTAGCCTAGGCTGAGGGGGGAGACGAATGCATAAACAACAATGCCCGCAATCCACTAGTGGTGATGACTCAGCTCTCCAACTTAAAAATAATAAGAACATAATGGCAGGCTAACTTGTGGGCTTGACAAAATGTCCTCTAGGATGCTTGAATCATCACAGCCGCCTTCAATGGCCCAAATCTCCTTGAAATCAACATGGATTTCCTTTGAAGATCTATGTACAAATACTACATAATATTAACAACCGCTCCAATATGGAAAGCCTTGCCATCGGGTTTACAAAAGGTTAGTTCACTAACTAATATAATAATTGCTAAGGTGGTCATGGTGGGCTATCCTAAAACCCTTGCTAATTCGATTATCAAGGCTGTGTCATTACCTTAGGGCAAGAAGGAAACATCATCTAGAAGGGTTGACCATATCTGACGAAGTACAAATTTGTGTAGTACGTGAAGGGCTTTGTTTCTCTTAAAGTTAGAACATTTGTGGAACAAATAACCTCTGACAACACCTAATTCATTTAAGAACAAGTGAATCTCTATGGCCTTTTCAAAAGGCCTAAGCTCATGCTAGGAGCTTTATGAGGATGGATGAGGTACATGCGATTTTCTTTTAAAATTACGAAGGGAAGAGGCCCCAAAAGATGGAGAGATTATTCTGTGTGGAATCCGTATGTATTTGGAGACGAATCCGGACACGCCACGTCACCGGATGCATTGGGCCCCGGTGATGTGGCATGTCCGGATTCGCCTCCGAACACATTCGGATTCCACAGAATAATTTTCCCCTGACCTTGGTTTCAATAAAACCTAAGCAAGAAAACTGCAACTCTATTTGAAGTTCTTGGAGTGAAGTTTTGCACATACGACCTTAGAGAGCATATGTTTTTAACAAAAAGAACTTTACAGCATAGGTGCCGCAGCTGATAACAGTATTTTTTGTTGGGTAACTGTTATGTGGAGAGATAAATTTGCATCTAGAACGGGGAAAATATTATCATGCGCTCTTAGTTTTGATCATACCTATCTCTTTGGTCCTGGACATTCGTTTGTAGTCCCTTCATACTGTTACTAACCTAGATTTAAATGAACAGCTCCATTTACCATTTAGCTTACATTGGCCCCTCTCACATTTTTCCTATGGTATATTGTTGTACTTTTTTTTTTCTTCTGGAGCTAAATATCCAAACGACCAATTCAATACTTCAAATGCTACATAGAAATATCCTATTGAACCTCTCTTACTGATTGATGATGGTTGAGCATTTTAATTAGGTTAGATAGTGACCTGATCTAAAGTTTTTGTAACTTTCCTCCAGGGAAGTGTGCCAGTTAGCTTAGAGAAGTAACTTATTCTTCTCTGATTTAGCAGAACAAAATGCCGAGGGTAAAAATGAGCCATAGTGCGGACGATTTGACCAGTTTAACTTGTTTAGCCAGTGCTTCCCAGCTGACTGTAATTTGGATGTACGCTCTCTTGCATTTTTTTTTTTTTTTTGTGTGAGACAATTTGGGCGAACCCTTCTCATTAAATTGAAAAAAAAAAAATCTTAAGGTATAATGAACATCCTCATCCATCAAGAATGAATAGAAAGATTTGACTAATATAAACCATTTGTTGAAAGAATCTAAATAAGTGTAATATCAGTTTCTGCTCCAGGTTCGTCCGGACGAAGTCGGATCGTCCGGGACGATCGGTACAGGTTGTGCAGAGAAAATCATGTTTGGCTGTATGGTTCGTCTGGACGAAATCAGGATCGTCTGGACGAAAATAAGTCAGTGAACCCTTCGCCGGGGACGATATT